CCCCAAAACCCCAAAACCCCAAAACCCCAAAACCCCTTCAGATTCTTATCATATTGAGAGTAATTCTCGATAAATCCTGTTCCAATACTAAAACCGAGTGAAGACGAACAGAAAGTACATGGATATACTTATGAATAAATAGAAGTTATTCAACGTAGCTTTGTAGTAGGCTCAGGTTATTAAGAAGTCTGTACAACCTCGATCTGCTTCTCTCTTTCCTTGATATCTCTCTTCTTTGCATACCTAAATTAGGTGAATTAGAAATGAAAGGTGTAATACCTACCTTTGGGTATAGGTTCTGGCGAAAGCAGCATCAACCTTTTCAGGGTTGACTTTTTCTTCCTTCTTGAACTTGTTCTTAATCTGAGCTCTACTTCTAGTACCGTTGAATTTAGACTCAATCATTGTGAAGTCTGTACCCCATTCTTCGACTGACTTGAAGAAAAAGTCAGTCTCTTCTTCACTCCATTTCTTGGTCTTGCTCTTTTTGGGGTAGATTAAAGCATTAGAAGTGGAGTATTCATCATCATTGATGACCTTGAAGTACTTCGGATCATCCTCTTCCCTTCTGAAGTGAGATTCCTCAATCAAAAGGGAGCTCTGATCAATTTGGGCCTTGCCATTGACAAAAATGATTTTCTTTTGTGGAATTACAGGCTTTGGAGATTCGATCTTAGACTCATCATCAACTCTGTCACTTTTAGTGGTAATAGAGGTGATATCTGACTTCCTAGTTCTCTTTCTCTTCTTGCCTGAAAGCTTCTGAGAATCAATCATGTCTTTGATAGTAACCCTCTTTTCTTGAACTACCGAAGGAACAGGGGTGTTTTGTGATTCAAAACTCTTAGTATTTTGATAAGAGTCAGAACTTCCTATATTAATTGATAAGTTTCTTGTCACATAGGTCTTAGTATTTTGTGAGACTGTTAAATGCTTACCTTGATCTCCTTCAGGTCCGTCACTACTAGGTTCTTCCTGCGGAGAACTCTCTGATTCTCGTTCTCGTCCCTCATTATTTTGTTGGCTTTGAAAAACACAAGAAGTAGCTCCAACAGCTTCTAAATTACTACCTCTCTTTGTTTCAATATCCTTCTTAGTGCTGATATGCGTTATCTGACTCTTAGTCTTCATCTTATAATAATTTGTGAAAATAATTAACTTTAAATTATCCAGTAAAAATCAATATATAAATATTCTAAAGGGGTTTTGGGGTTTTGGGGTTTTGGGGTTTTGGGG